TTTAATCACTGACATTTAATAAAAGATTAAATGAGAATAACTTTAACTTCAGCCACATCTCAGAATTCGGTATAGCTCTATTGTTTATGCTTGGAGATTACTTGTTAAAATGCTCTGTATTACTGTATCCATGATCTTCATTCATAAAGAAGATATAATTGCTGACAATGTTGTTATTTCTAACTATTAACAGATGATGGGGATGAAATTCCAGGAATGCCCTGATCGCCTGCCATCGGGTTGTTGTACTATGTAGCTCTAGCAGTAGTACTTTTTGTTTCTGGGGGCAGTCTGACCAGAACTATGTTGTAGTGCCTGTTGTACCAATTATATTACTAATTATACTCCGTATATTGTATGGTGTATCGGAGTCTTCGGAGACCTAGCCTCTTATGGTTGACTTTCTCTTTGATGCCTTGACTTTTCAATTTATCTCTTCATTTTCCGTTAGGGTTTGTATGAATTTTCCTGATTTTGGGGTATGTTAAGCTTTTTCCGACTTCAGCTTATTTTACCCTAATCAAGGGGTTGGTTGCCCTTCCTAATACTTTTGTTGACCGAGTAATTTAATTTAATATCTTGGTATACATGTATTTGCAAACGCCTCCTATTTTGTCTGTCAAGACAATTTCCAAAATTTCTTGATTGTTTGGACGAATTGCCTGTACATAAACGTGTGAAAAATGTGTATAAAAGTAATTTTGTTCAATTTTAACGGCAGATTTATCAAATGCTTGATTTTGCGTGTTATTGGACAAGTTTTACATATTTTAAAGAAAATAATAGCTAAAAAAGAGAACATGTCTGGTTGTGAATAAAGTGTGTTGTGAATAATAAAAAACTTTCAAGAAAGTGCTTAAGTTTGATATGATCTAGTCGGGCATGAATATGTCTGGTTGGGTCTATTGATCTAGTCTGAGCTGGTTCAAGTGTACTTTGATTTGATTCGATTTGCAATTCAGCAATCTTGAGTCAGTATAGATACTTTAGTGAACCCTATTTATATGCTTGAGTTCACCTTCTTCCGGGTTCGAATTTGGCAGCAGCACTATGAAATATTTCATTTAAGTGTGAATGGAGTGAAATCAAATGCAAGTTACCAGTATACTACATTACTACTCCGTATTATGTCGAGTTGGAGACTCGGATTGCGGCGGCATAGGATGGAGAACCCATCCTAACACCAAAAACATTCACCAGAGGTCCAGAGTGATCACACTTGGTATATTCAACAGTTTTTATGAGGGTGAATTAAAATGTTCGTAGTATTTCTCACTGATGTTTTCCCTTTTTTAAGTTTTACAAATACATATTAATGAGACAATTTTAATTTATTAAAAGGGAGACAAAATTATAGTTTTTGGGTCCATTTTGACCACTCTTTAACGCTAACCCTTCCCCGTCGTTAGCTCCCCATCCGATTAAACCTGGGAACAATGGAGGTCGATCGGCATCGCCCTGTGTAGAAGAATACCTCCGGGTCACTGCCTTGTCGTCGCACTGCCTCGCCGTCGAAGCCGTCGCCGCGTCAAAGCCTACCCATTACCCATCGCAGGCTTCAGCATCGCAAAATCGCGACATCACCGAAGTTACCTACCGCCGTTCAATCTGGAGCATCTCGTCGGCAACTTGGGGTGGGCGACAGTGCGGTTGTAGGCAGCGACAATAGGTGATGGGACAACGTTGGGCTGGTGACGAGGGCTACGAGACTGAGAGGGGGGTTGCGAGGGGGCTGTAGCTAGGGCCAGGGTTGGGGTTGGTTTGGGAGGCTGGGGATGGGTGGTCCGAGCTCGGGCTAGGGAGGTGCGGATAGGGGTTTGGCTGCTCGGATCTGGAGCTGGGGAGGTGGCAAGGGCGGGACATGGGCTGCGGTTTGGGGATCGGAGGGGCAGGGGCTAGTGTTGGGGTCGGTTGCAAGGGGGCTTTTGGAATGGAGAGTTAACGACGGGGAAGGCTCCTTTAAGTCTTTAACGGAGGCGTTAAAGGGTGGTCAAAGTGTACCCAAAAAGCAAAAACTATAATTTTGTGTTTATTTGGTCTGCCCAAAACCTAAGTGTCTAATCCGAGATTCGTTCAAAACCTTAGTGTCAATTTTGGTCTTTCTCCCTTATTAAAATCATGTCCATACAAATGTGTTATATAAGGACGTGTGAATTATGGAATTATAGGTATATATAAAAAGGGGATCAATTTATGTTATGTATATGCTTGACTAGTTTGACTTTGATCACTTGAGATTGAGATATACTTGAACAAAACTTAGGAAGTACTACGTACATCGTATGTTTAAATCGATTTAAAGCTTTAGGATCATTTGGAGTGGTGTAGATGTCAAATGTTGAAAATAGACTCCATCCATATTAAAACAGTGTTTAAACTCATATTTTACGACATCAGCACCGTCAATAACATACATTCAACATAGTTTTTACATATCAATTTAGTAAAGCATTAATTAAACTATTATAAGTAATGTTTTCCTTTTAATTTTCCTCTAGAATAATTATGAAATAAAAAATACATATTTTGATGTAAAAATAAATATATTTCATTAATTGTTTTTAACATGACATCATCTGCATCAAAAGATAACATGACAGCTAGGGCTGGGCACGGGCCGGGGCGGGGCGGGTAATGCAAAATAAAATGGAACCGCCGGTTCCATTGTCCGGTCCGGTCCGGTCCGGTCCGGGTATTGCAATTTTTAAAATAGGAACCGGACTTTACCCGGCCCGTTTGAAACGGGTCGGTCCGATCCGGGTTTTACGGTTTCTATTCCCATGTCTTAAAATTAGTAAAAACTCACAAAGTTCCAAAAATCGATAACCAATAATATAGTACATTAGCAATTTTCAAAATAACAACATAGTGATGCACATGTAACCCAAGTGGGAAGTCCAATACTCTATAATTTCATGTATATAAGTTCCAAACAATTAAAGAAGTTCCAAAAATCAGCAACATAGCCAAAATACATATTTTCTAACATTTGAATTTAAAAATGTTGTTTAACATCACATATTAAGGTGATTGTGTTTTTTTATTAAATTTTCAGTATTAGCCAAAGTTGACACATACATGAAAGAACAAATACTTGAATTCCATAGAAAGGAATAATTCAATCATTTGAAAGCAAAATGATGTTACTGCAACTCAATTTGAAATCCTACTTCTAGCAAAGGAAAACAAAACTATTTCAAAACCGATTATTACAAAACTATTAATATACAATATTTTTCAAAAAATAATAATATTGGAACAATATACAATATTTATCAAAAACAATATACAATTAATATACAATATTTTTCAAAAAAATAAATAAATAATATACAATATATATAACGGGCCGGGCCGGGTACCCGGTATTTTTTTATTTTGGAACCGGCCCGGGTCCTTAAAAAAAATTACCCGGACCTACCCGGACCGTTTTATGGCAACAAAAAATGGAACCGGCCCGTTTTGGACTCGAACCGTCATTACCCGGACCGGACCGCGGTTCCAAGACCCGTTTGCCCACCCCTAATGACAGCCCACTCTTTCTTTTATTTTTTCCTTATTTCCCCTTTTTCCAATTCTATAAACTTTCCCTCTATATTTAACTCCTTCCATCCCCTTTCCCACTTTTAGTACCCTCTTTATACTCCCACTACACACATTTAGCAGTCCAAAAGCTCCACATTTAACGTTTTGGAGTTCTAATACCTCATCACTCCAAATAATCTAAAGAGGTTAAAAAAAACTAAAACGTAACTCCAAAAGTATAAAAGAATTTGAACCCTTTGGACCCTCATCTATTCGGAAAACATGACATAAGTTTCACTAAACTAGCATAAATTATAGTAACACCAACTTCATTAACATACTAGTTCAAGCCTAAACACACATATACATAATATATATACTATCTCTGTTCCTTAAAATTTCAAAAAAATTGACTAACACGTGGAATAATAAAGTAAAGAATGTGTAGCCGGGATTCCTGGATAGGCAAGAGAAAAAAATAAGAATCACAAATCAATTGATTAATAGAAAAAAGGTAAAGTTTTGAGAAAACCTAAAAATGAAAAGATGGTAAAACTATAAGGAATGGAGGGAGTATATTGGCTTTGAAATTGATTTTTCTTCTATTCCTCTGTTTTTTTTGTTCTGTGTTTCGATTTGTTGATTTTTTATCTTCTATTTTGCATTTCCTTTTTCAAATTTCAGTAATTTTAAAAAATTTCAATTATCCAGTTTTTTTGGATGATGGATTAAAAATTTGCCAAGTTTATGGCAAAAATGAGTACACCGAATATCATTTATGGCAGAAAAGATTTTTTTGTAAATCTTCTTTTCTAATGTTTTGTCACTAGTTTCGTGAATTTATTATTTATTTTGTTTGAGTGTTTACTCATAAAAAAAATATTTTTCACTATTTGGTTGGCATTTCATATTTTTGCCAAAAGTATGGCAGTTTGGTGTTCTTCCAAGATTAATCTGCCACTTTTTTGGCATATCTTAAACTTCATATTAATGGCAGATTAGGTTAAATCTGCCAACTTATGGCATATTTGTAATCATCCTTTGAGGCTAAATCAGTCAACTTAATGGCAGATCTACGACACTGGAGTCGTGACGACGGCGGTGCTCGGAGGTGAGTGGTGGGGATTTAACATCGACAACAATGAGGGAGTTGTGACGGCGGTGACGAATGTCAATAGCAGTTGGGCGGTGATGGTGTACCGGTAGGGAGGCGGGGTAGGCGGTGCCGGCATATGGCGCCGGCGAGGGGTGGCGGTAGACCGCGCCGGCAGAGGGTGGCGGCGGCGTACGGTGATGTCGGTGTGAGAGGCGCATCTTCAATTTGCCTGGAATTCCCTGCGCTAGAATTCTCTTTGATTTAATGAAATGCAGTTCCTTATTTAAAATAAGGGTATTATGGTCCACTCATGCTTAAATACGGAATAACTCCTACTAAACATAATGTAGGAAATCGGTCCTATTTTAACATTTGACAAGTCTTTTTGTACTATATGAGTAATTAACTCTAGAGATTTCTTTGGATGACGAGATTAGATGAACCAATATGCATACACAAATATATGCTGTCCACACAGCCATAGCTCTCTGCTCAAACTACTCCAACACTGTCCAGAAGAAGAAAACTGGCAGCAGACATGGCCTTAGTAAAACCCATACTGAAGTTTTGTCCCTCCGGCACTCCACGGCCGAGCAGCTGCCGGAAACCGCCGCTCTTCAGCGTGAGAATGTCGAGCACCGCCACATCGGCGAAGAAGGCCGCCGGGAAGCAGGCGATCAAGGAATCCCTCCTGACGCCGAGATTCTACACGACGGACTTCGAGGAAATGGAGAGGCTCTTCAACACGGAGATTAACAAAAATCTGAAGGAGGATGAGTTCGTGTCGCTGCTTCAGGAGTTCAAGACGGACTACAATCAGACCCATTTCGTGAGGAACAAGGAATTCAAGGAGGCCGCCGACAAGCTTCAGGGTCCTCTCCGGCAGATATTCGTGGAGTTCTTAGAGAGGTCCTGCACTGCCGAGTTCTCTGGTTTCCTTCTCTACAAAGAGCTCAGTAGAAGGCTCAAGGTATCTTCTTCAAAAACTTGCTTTTTTCCCATTAACACTACTAATCGAAATGTACTAATTAGATGTAGAAGAGTGTTTAACATTTGCTATGCTATATAAACGGTTAGATAATTTTGGGTCCTTGCTAAATCAAGACAGAGCGTCAGTTAGGGTAATTTGGGTCTGTTTGGTATCAGTAGATAAAAGCTATCTTAAAGCTCCCTAATTGCTGAAAACATGGGGACTTAAGATTTCATCTTAACTCTTCATTTGGATAGAGTTAACTTAAGTAAATTGTTGAACTTAAACCTAGATTTAGTAAAAAATTGATCCTAGGTGAATAAGGTGGATATATATAAATATTGTTTGGGTAACTATGAAGGTAATGTTGTAATGCACATGAATGCATATTTTTTATTTTATTTGGATGGAGGTTAAGCTAAATGGATATATGATGTTATTTGTAAATCAAAGTTAACCTCTTAAAAACTTTTATTCAGAGGTTAACCTAAGCTTGATTATTGAAGATCATCGGAAGTAATTTGAGCTAAACATAAATATACGAAAACAGAGGTTGTTTCTGTGAAATGGCACACAGACAGAAAAATGATGGCGAGACTTACCAGAGAGGGCTTCCATTCAAAGCGCGTTTGGATAGAGATATAGGTTCAAACCTAGAAATATATAGGTTCAAACCGCAACGGAAACATACTATAAGTTCAAGAGAGTATTCTAATGCATTTATGTGTGAGTTTGTATTTCATATTTGGTGTATGATGTATGATGACTTAGATGGAAGGAAAGCCCTTAAATAGGATATATAAGATGTGGAAGATCTAATTAGTTGGTGTTAAAAGTGTTATGTAACATTAGTACTTGACTACTTGTTATGTAAAAAGACAATTGTTATACCTTGTACTCTATATCCATTATGGATGGACAAAAGTATAGCTTTTGTAAGAGATTAAGGTTATTAGTGGAAACAAGTTAAAGTATAGGAACTTACTTTGAAAAGCTGTAGGAGATAGTTTGTCAAATAAGTGCTTATTTTAAGCTATTTTAATATCAACCAAACACGCATTTAGAATTTTTGGAGTTTAAACTTTAAAGTAAGGTCTAGGTTCCAATATAAGCTCTATCACACGGACACTTATATAAGCCGTGATTCCATGAATAACGAACTGAACTGTTTATAACTGAACTGTTTGGGAAATTTTGTACTAGTGTGAGGATGATAAAAAATGTTCTTTTGCTTTCTAATAACCTTGCATAGTTTGCCCTTAAATCTTGACCGTTAAGCTTTGGAATATATTGCACGCACGGATGTATTTGATAAACTCACTCTATTAAAATAAGCTTAAAATCAAATAAAAACCACTGCAGTATAACTGCTAACTGACACTGTTTGGATATGATTCTTGCAGAAAACAAACCCTATTGTAGCAGAGATATTCTCTCTCATGTCTAGGGATGAAGCTCGCCATGCTGGGTATACATTTACATATGCTCTCTGTACTTTATTAGAGAACGTTTGAGTTAGAAGTCTTCAGAAGTTGAGGTAAATGCTTGTTTTTGTCAATTTGAAATGTGCAGGTTCTTAAACAAGGGATTGGCCGACTTCAACTTGGCATTGGACTTGGGCTTCCTGACTAAGGCCAGAAAGTACACATTTTTCAAGCCCAAATTCATCTTCTACGCAACATACCTGTCTGAGAAAATTGGGTACTGGAGATACATTACCATATATAGACACCTGAAAGCGAATCCGAAATATACGTGCTACCCGATTTTCAATTACTTCGAGAACTGGTGCCAGGATGAGAATCGCCATGGTGACTTTTTCTCTGCTTTGATGAAAGCTCAACCTCAGTTCCTCAATGACTGGAAGGCGAAATTGTGGGCCCGCTTCTTCTGTCTTTCGGTAAGTCTTATAGGGATGGTTTTGTGTACTTTGTTCTAATAATGTCTTTATTTCTGATCAAGTATCCCACATTGAAAATTTATCCACAACAGATGGACTGTGAAGCCTTATTCTATATTTTGTTAAGCCGTCCTTCATCAGAAAAATACAAAAGTATGAATTCACATGAACTATTTTAGATTACTATTAGGTTGACATTTACGAATGAAACTCCAAATCTAAATATGGTTTAGAGCCAATTAAATTCAAACAAGCATTTGATCAAACTAAGACTCAAATAGAACACACAGATATGTTAAGTAATCACACAGCGACCAAATATGAAATCACATGTAAGGTATTATTCCTCCCATTGAGTTATCTTGTATGATAGAAATCAAATAATTTTAAGGTTGTGACTTGATCTTCTGCTCTTTTCTGTTGTTGGGCGTATTTGAAATTGCAATTTGAAAATTTCCTTGCATTGTGCAGGTTTACGTGACTATGTATCTCAATGACTGCCAGAGGAGTGCTTTTTATGAAGGCATTGGCCTTAACACAAAAGAATTTGATATGCATGTCATCATTGAGGTGAGTTATTTTACCTATCTTTCTGTCGCGTTGTGCATTATTTCAACATTTTGTTTGTCTGTGCAGTATTCAGTTTATCAACATCATTAGCTTTACATCTAGAAAAGATGGTATAGATTGTTTATGGCTCTTCCTGAACTTTTGCCCTTTGATATCTTACATCTCATTGCACACCTATGTTTACTGTGCTTATTAGCCATATCAACACAAAGACAGGATCATATTAACATACAATAATGTAGTTTACTGTGTAGGCTGTGTTCAATAATGAAAACTAGGAATGGAAATGTCAATCAAACATTTAGTTTTGTGTACTATTTTATTTATTTCATTAGCAAAGTGTTTCTTTCAATAATTAAGTGAACTTGTCTCAATTTCAGAAACTATGTCCAACTTAACCCTTACCAAACAGACTTTTAGGATGTTTTTAGTTGAACTTATAATTTTATGCAGAGTTTACTACGTAGTACTATCGTATTATCCAAGTCTGGTATGGTTAAGTTTGATTTTTGACTGAAACCAATTGTGAAAATTTTCTTAAAGAGTTACAGTTACTCTTAGTTTTATTATTGCCTTATTGGTACTCCCATTGCAAGTAGCTGTCAGTCAGCCATGCCATTTGGTATCGTCCTTGCTAGGCTCAAGACAATTTTGAGATTCGGTATCTGTGGAATGATCTTTAATTGTGTTGGATTGGATGCAGACGAACCGAACAACGGCTAGAATCTTCCCGGCTGTACTAGATGTGGAGAACCCGGAGTTCAAGAGGAAGTTGGACAGAATGGTGGAGATCAACCAAAAGCTGATCGCAGTTGGGGAGAGCAGTGACCTTCCCGTGGTGAAGAATCTGAAGAGAATCCCTCTCGTTGCTGCCCTTGCTTCTGAGCTGTTCGCTGCCTATCTCATGAAACCTGTTGATTCTGGTTCCGTTGACCTTGCTGACTTCGAAACCCAGCTCGTTTACTGAATGAAGACTGCTCTCCTCTTCTTTAATTCTTGCCAAAACTCTATTCACGATTGTGTATAATCATCTAGTCAGAGAGAAATTTCCTCATCGTTTCTATTTGGCTGAATTAATTAATTCTCGCTAAAAGTTAAGTTTACCTTTTTTTAATTATACTTCTTCCGTCGGTCCGTCCACTTAAATTGTTATTTTTTTTGTCCGTTCCACTAACTTATACTCCGTACTTCCTAAGGGAGTGTTTGCAACTGCTTAAAAAAAGCACTTCTCGATTTTTGGTTTTTTTTTTGCTTTAAAAAGGTAAAAAAAGTGTTTTCAAATAACAACTTCTACTTAGTGCTGGACTCGGGCCGGGCGGCCCGCACCGGAACCGGCCTGGCCCAGTGGCCCGGTCCACCGGCGGTTCGGGTCGAACCGGCCCGGTGGATACCGGTTCCGGGCCTGGGCCCTCCATTTGGTGAACCGGCCCGGCCGGTTCGGGCCCGGTCCGGGCCGGAATATTTTTTTTTTTTGAATTTTTTTTAATTTTTGGGTTGGATTAGGTATTTTGGGCCATTTGAGGTGGTTTGGGGTGGTTTGGGGTTGAGGGGTAGGGGGTTAAATAAGAGAAGCCAAAAAATAAAAAATAAAAAAAAAATGGGGCGGTTGAACCGGCCCGGAACCGGTCACCGCCGGTTCGGGCCCGGGCCCTCCTTTTGGTGAACCGAGGCCCGGCCGGTTCAAGGCCCGAACCGGGCCCGGCCCGAACCGAGTCCAGCCCTACTTCTACTTAAAAAAGTGTTTATCAGCTTTTGTGCAAAAAATGTTTTTTTTTTACTTTTTCTATTACACAAAAAACACTTATTTTATAAACAATATCAACTTTTACTTTTCAAATCACTTTTTTCTCAAACACTATTAACTTTTACTACTAAACATTTGTCCAAAATCACTTCCAAAAGTATTTTTCTTTTAAGCAGAAGCAGTTGCAAACACTCTCAAAGAATGATGAGAGATTCTATTCTTATTTTATTTTTACTTTATTAATTCAATATATACCATGTATACTTACTTTTCTTAGTAATTGCGTCATTACTAGAACGGAGGTAGTACTAAAGGCTCCATGTAAAGGTGCAAACTAAGTTAGAAAATAAAAAAGTTGATATTAAAAATAATGGAAAATGGAATCATCTGTTCTGAATGAACGCGGAAAGGGCAAATGATGGAGGCAAACGAAGAGCCCTACTAGGGATGGAAACAGGCCAAGTCTGGTTTTTGCCTAAACAGGCCAGGCCTGTTTTAGAAAGTATAGGCCTGAGTCTGGCCTGTTACTTGTTTAAGGCCTGTTTTTTCGGCCAAGCTGGCCTGGCCTGAAGCCTGTTTAGTAGGCCTGTTAAGAAAAAAATCAAAAATTTAAAAAAATAAGAATTAAATGGGACAAATTCTATTAGGCTAATATAAAATTTAGTCCCTGCATAATCACTAAAAACATCTAATAATATGTTGGTTTTGCTTTGAATGTCTAATAATATGAGACTAATGTAGCTTATAAATTTTTATGTATTTCAAATCTTGAAAAGCTTTGAATTCAATGACCATAATAACCAATTAACACACTTTATATATTTAAAAGGGAAAATGGAAACTAATAATCCAACCTTTTAGCGGTCTTCTTTTAATAGTCCGACCTTTTCGTTATTCATGAATAATCCAACCTTTGCACCTCATCTTCATTCACTGGTCCCCGACCGGTTGATGACCTGTTATTCCAAGTTATTTTCTTATCTTTGCAAAATATTATCTTTGTGAAAGGTGGAATTTATGGTAAAATAGTTTGCAGAGATAAGAAAATAACTCGAAATAGCAGGTCATCAACCGGTCGGGGACCAATGAATGAAGATGAGGTGCAAAGGTTGGATTATTCATGAATAACGAAAAGGTCGGACTATTAAAAGAAGACTGCTAAAAGGTTGGATTATTAATTTCCATTTTCCCTATTTAATATAGTATTCTTATTTAAAATACACACTCCATAAATTATGCCCAACTTGCTATAGTTAAATTAATATATATAATATAAATATAAAGAATACAAATAAATATAAAAATAACTATGTGTGCGTGTGTATATATATAAGTAGACCGGCCTGTTAAGCTAAAATGGCCTCGGGTTTGGGCTAAGCCTAACCTATTTAGACAAACGGGCTTTTTGAAAAGCCTAAACCTAGTATGATTTTTAAGCAGGTCAGGTCAGGCCAGGTCTTAAACTGGTCAGGCCACAGGCCCCTGACAGGCCGGCTGACCTATTTCCACCCCTAAGATGAAGTCATTAAAAGAAATCTAGTGTATGCTTTTTGAAAGTTGTGTTTCATTTTCTTTTTATAATTCTAGCTAATTCTAATAATGATTAGAACTAGCTTTTTGACATAGTCCAAAATTGAAATCCATGATTAAGAAGACTAAAAACACTCTCAAAAGGGCCTATCTTCCGAATTACTCCAAGAAATTTTGTCACGTCAATCTTTTAGCACTCTTAAGACAATCTTTAACCTTGATTCTATTCATTTTTCTGACTGCATTTTTAATACAAAAATGCAATGAAACATATAAAGTCTCTTTTCCTAGAAAGAAATTCAAGTTTTAATATGGTATGCAAGGCTTAAAAAGGTCGATCTCATAGGAAGAACCCAAGAATAGGTAAATAAGACAATGGCTCGTTGACTAATTTTGCGGTCCCTGTACTTGCTATTGAGGATTACCTGAACTAATTGCTTGTTGGAGTTTAATTGATTATGATATCATATTAAGACTTTTTTAATAATTTTCATATTCTAGAAACTTTTTAAAAAGTGAATGGGAAAATGTCGGTTTTTCTTAAACGAAAATGAGTGTTTGTTTTCTCACATCCCAAATTCATTTTCTTATTTCGATTCTTTAATTTTCTAAAATACTACTCCGTAGTACGTGTGATTAAACCATCAAAACAGTATAACATGACTTATATGCTCGTGTCAATTTTCAAAGTGGATTGCGAAACGTTCAAATTTCAAAGTAAAAGATGCACATCTCTACAATCTTATAAGCCTGAATGAGGGTTAGGGTATTGATGGTATTAAAAAATTTGTTGGTGGTATTCTAAGCATCATTGACATGTACCAGGTGTTTCGATGCTTGTAAACTTTCAAACCTCACCTGGCTTATCTCTTACGGTCGTTTGTCTCCGTTAATCTTCTGGCTTCTCGCTTCCTTTTGGCCAAACAAGACATTCCGTTCTCACATACCAAGCATACTGTCGCGCATCCCCCTGGCTCGCAGCTTTCCTCTTCTTCGAATGATTAAATGACAATGGTAATCGAATAACCCTTCCTTCATTTGCTTTCTTTTTCATTTGCCATTGAGAACACAGACATCTTGGTTCTGGAGTCACCGAATTGGAATCCAAGCGACAATGAAGACTCAAAGAACAAAGGAATCCCGAATCCGAAGTATCTCTGCCTCTGCTCTTCACATTCTCTCCCAGAAGGTCTATCCGCTCTTCGCCTGAATCATAGAATTGATCCATCGGCTCTTGTTTCAGCGGTTCAGCCGCCTCTGTTTGACTACTACTTGAATCGAGAATCCCATCTGGCTCTTCTGCGCAGCAGGTTTGTGGGTTACCTCTGTGAATGTTTGATTAAGAGAATCGGAAATATTGAATAGTGATTATTGTTTATCCCTTCATTAACACTTTGGCGTTTTCAGTATTTCCTTGTCAATCTAAAATTCCAATTAGATTGATGATAGATTATGATTCAAATTTCTGAATTTCTGATTTTTTTTAATCACGGTAGACCGTTAGTGTTAGCCTATGAGATTTTATTTTTTTCATTTGTTTTAATCACTAAAGATTAAATGATGTAGATTACATGTAAAAGGTGGCATCATGATTTAAACATGCTTAACAGTCACTGTTACAGAGTCTCGCTGATTTAGGATAGATGACTTTTAGTCACTATTACATAGAAACTAATACTGCTGCTCAGTACATGGCCAAAAACGTATTTCAAACGTCTGACTTTAGTAGTTACTTTTGTCGTTATGCAGTTCCTTTTGATGTTAAACATGCTATTTTGTCTAATCTTGCTGGATTTTCTTTTATTGTTTGCTTCATTGGGTAAGTTTAGCCCCCAGTTGTAATCTTTCGATTGCCTTATTAATGAACATAATCTGGCACAGGCGGAATTCAGCCCCCTAACATTCAAAAAAAAAGACAATTCATTGAGAAATGAAGGGGAAAGTTTGAAGAAGCTTGCGACTTATGTCTTTTGCTGCATATGGTATACCATCAGCCTTATCCTTTCTTTTAACAACATTTCTGGTAAGTCTAGGCGATGTTTCTGTATGTTGCTTCATCATTGATCTTCTATCTGTAACCTTTATGAAATCACTTTCTTCCGCAGGTGCCAGAGAGGGGTCAATAGAAGGTTCAATAGCAGGCTAAGTAGATGACTCATTATTGTGATTAGTCATATACTTTAATGTGTAGGGGCAAGGCACTGTAGTAGTGGTGTTTTGTTAATGGTAAACTAACTGATTTCCTATGACTGTGAGTTCATATTCAAATCTCCCAGGATTAATTATATTAGTGTAAGCACAATATTGCTATATCTAATAGCAGTACATATGGAATCTTGTAAACTAATGAAACAATAATGAAAGTAGAAAATCTGGTTTCATCACTTTATTGTTGATCAAATACCCATAAGAGATGTTTTCTTTACTTTAATTGTTTGGAATATCTTCCAATTATCTAGGTCATTTTAATTTTGTTCAAGGTGTCTACTTTCAAAAGTTTGGAAATCTGCATCTTTAATTCTTCATTTTTTGCTTTGTCTTAATGATCCCGGCTTCGTTTATAGCTCTGCCTGTTATGATAGTGGATATGTCGATAGAATTATAGGCTTTCCCTCTATTTGCATTATAAATATCCTAAGATGGAATGTTCCTGATGTTCCACAATTCATCTGTTTCTTAGCAAGGTCAAATTTGTTAGCTTGGCCCACTCCCTGTTAGTACTTTTATTTCATACCCCCTTTCCATATATGTATTCTATATCCTTGTTCAGTTTTCCCCCCTTTTTATTGCCAATTTTCAAAATACTTTAACATGGTTAACTAAATTCTACATCCAACTTCACAGTATTGTAATTCAATGGTGTAGTTTAATTCTATAAAATTGATATACTTCAAAAAGTTATATTATTCCTTAAGACTTAAGTTACTGCTCTATTGTCAATCTAGATGAAATAAGATGTTATGTGTAAAGTTGATTCTTTTTCTTATATCATTTTTTCGTGTGATACTAATCCCAGGTTTTTGAGCATATTACAAACCTTTGGAACCTATACAAGGAGCTGGTGTTGCAAGGCATCCTCACGGGACACTCTTGATAATGTATTCAATATTATGAATAAAGCCTATTTGTGCATTTACCATTTTAAAAGGTCTTTATGATTTACGGAAAAGAATGTACGAAAACAAGTTTACAACCATCATGAATCAACTTAAAAGATGTGACTCCATTTAAACGCTGAAAAGGGTGGGGAGCAGATGGAAGGTTTTAAAAAATAGATCATAATTGAAAATATAGGTCTTGGTCTCTTGGATCATGGGCTATTGTTTTTAGGATCGGCTGTTCTAGGACCGAAACTGGCCATGTACATGTCTACCAACCTACCATTCATGAGGCCTAATTTTGCCTTTGGTGTTATTTTGAGAGTGGTGTAGTTTGAAGTCCATATATCTTTTGTATATACAACGATGCTTGAATATTGAATTTGATTTTGAAGACTAAGTCTGCTGGGCATTTTACACTTATTACTTCTTACCTTAATTTGATTTTTATTCTGAAAATTCAAATACATTACATCCATTTGCTCTTAGATAAGCACAACCAAATGACCAATCTAAAAAAAATCAATGATGCATATTCTCATTATTTTTATTTTATACGGAGTACTTGATTATTTTTTTTTGATTTTTTTTTAATTTTTAGCTCAAATCTCAACCTCAATATATAAATGATGAATGGAAGCATTGTCAGTGCTATTTAAAGCTTATATCCTGCTAAACCACTGTTCTCCATTACTACTCGTACAATTTTCATTCACCTACCTAGACAGGAGATTTCATTAATTAATGAAAAATGACATTACAAAAACCTTCAAGAGACCTTCAGTATCTCATGAAAAGCCTCTTGAGGAATATCAACGGAGCCAACACGCTTCATGCGCTTCTTCCCTTCTTTCTGCTTCTCCAATAGCTTCCTCTTTCTAGTAACATCACCGCCATAACACTTTGCAATAACATTTTTTCTCATGGCCGAGACCGTTTCCCGGGCAACAACCTTTGATCCAATAGCAGCTTGAATGATTATTTCAAACATTTGCCTGTCTATGAACTTCTTCAGCTTGTCCACAAGATCACGGCCAATGCGTGGCGCCTTCGACTTATGAACAATAGTTGCCATTGCATCAACTGGTTGTCCAATACGGAGTACTTGATTACATATGATATATGTTTCCCAGATGATTTATGTTTTTCATAGGGATGCGATCATACTGTGACACAAACATTTTTTGTCTGTGCGGAAAACGGTCCTCTTCACAAAATGCCGGTTAAATTTTCTGTACACAATAAAATGTCATGTACACTTTGCGTGCACAAATAGCATTTTCGTATATATTATCAATATGATAATCACATTGGGCATTCTCCCATCGCGCAACGCGCGTCGTATAACTAGTAGCTTAATTAATGGCGAGTGTGTTGGTGGTATTTTCAATTTACATGTGTGATTGAAGATTAAAGGTGGATTATAATTTCATAATCCTGCTTATCCACGTCGACAAGTAGCCTAGGAAGTCAATTAAACCTCTGGTACAAAGTTTGTTCATACGACTATATGCGGTGATGAGATAAGCTATTGTTGGGGAAAACACGACCCCCGACCTCTTCCAGGATCACCAGCTCAAAGGACTTTTGTACATTCACTCACTCACTCGTAACACAAAGACTCAATCCAACAATAACACTTTTTATTATACAATTGAAATGTACAAGAAATATTTTACAAGTAAACGAGTAGCTCACCTCACTCTTTGCATATGTGACTACTTCACTCTCACTCTCCTCTCTCAAGGAGGCTCTCCCTCACTCAAGAGCTCTCCTTGAGGCTCCTCTCTTACATCCCTCAAGGAGGTTCTCTCTCTCTAGGCCCTCACACGAATCTCATTTAGGAATGAGGAGTCTCACCCCTATTTATACAACCCTTCTCAAAGCTTCTCTAGAACTTTCTATACATCACTACAGTTCTAGATTCTTCCAGGAACTATCCACAAGCTTCTCTAATCTTCTAGAAGGATCTAGAGAACTACACATCGTTTGAGAATGTTCTAGATACTTCCACACACTTCCGCACGATTTTAGAGAATTTCACACTTCTCTAGAAAACTCCACAATGTTCTAGAATATTTTACACTCTTCCACACGCTTCTAGATAATTTGACGCCTCTCTAGAAAGCTCCGGAATATTCTATAACATTTAATGTTTCTCTACACACATCTAAAGAATTCTAGACATCTCCGCAGTATTCTAGAATTCTCATTAACTTCTCAATTAAGGAGGGAACCTAACAAATTTTCCCCTAACGACTTAATTGAGAAGTAGCAGTCAACCGCCAATAGCAGCCTCACATTTAGACATAGCAGTCTCCACCTCACATGTGAGTTGTCCCCCCTCCAACAAAGCTTGTATCATACCATATGAGCAGCCACCAAGGAATGGTCATGATATCTTCCGCAACAAGAATTGATCCACCAAACTCTCTTGTACCGCCATTATCTATTAACGGGACACGCCGCCTAATCACCTTAATATCAGGAAGACTTTCGATACAACACACCAACAGTAGATCAAATCGCAAGACCAAACCCTGTGTGTGATGGTCTCAAGAAGATCTCCTCTCCACTGACACTTGATCCGCAATTCATCTTGTACCGCCGCTGTTTACCAATGGGACTCGGCGCCTGACCTCCACAATATCAGGAAGACTTTCAATACAACGCACCACTAGCAGACCAAGACATGAGACTAGACTCAGAACCACACCCACAAGACATTCCATCGCTCTGCTCCACATATGTATGACCCAAGCTCCATAGTGAAGTCCATCATCCCATCAAAGAGCACGATCTCGAATGCCTCTGACAACACTGCTACCACCACAGTACGATGAGATCAATCTCCACGACGAACTCTACCCGTTACTCTACCTCCAACAACATGGCTCTGATACCACTGTTGGGGAAAACACAACCCCCCGACCTTTTCTAGGATCACCAGCTCAAAGGACTCTTGTACATTCACTCACTCACTCATAACACAAAGACTCAATCTAACAATAACACTTTGTATTATACAATTGAAATGTACAAGAGATGTTTTACAAGTAAACGGGTAGCTCACATCACTCTTTGCATATGTAACTACTTCACTCTCACTCTTCTCTCTCAAGGAGGCTCTCCCTCACTCAAGAGATCTCTTTGAGGCTCCTCTCTTACATCCCTCAAGGAGGCTCTCTCTCTAGGCCCTCACTCGCACGGCTCTCATTTAGGAATGAGGAGTCTCACCCATATTTATAGAACTCTTCTCAAAGCTTCTCTAGAACTTTCTATACATCACTACATTTCTAGATTCTTCCAGGAACTATCCACAAGCTTCTCTAATCTTCTAGAAGGATCTAGAGAACTACACATCGCTTGAGAATGTTCTAGATGCTTCCACACACTTCTGCACGATTCTCGAGAATTCCACACTTCTCTAGAAAACTCCACAATGTTCTAGAATATTCTACACTCTTCCACACGCTTCTAGATAATTCCACGCCTCTCTAGAAAGCTCCGAAATATTCTAGAACATTTAATATTTCTCCACACACATCTAGAGAATTCTTGACATCTCCGTAGTATTCTAGAATTCTCATTAACTTCTCAATTAAGGAGGGAACCCAACAACTATTACTTCCTTCATTTTCAAAACCTTGATCCTATAGTCTTATTGCCAGTGTTGCTTGTAGCCTATATGAATGAGAGATTAAAAGTGAGCACAATGGGAGAAAAGATTAAAAAAGATGGAATATTATTATACACCCTTAATGGTTGGCCATAGGGCTGGTCAGTCCGGTCAGAGACCGCGCGGTCCAAAAAAATTCCCAAGGCTCGGGTCTGAACCACTGTTTTTAGGTCTGGGCTGGTTTCAAGTACCCAGCCAGTCCGGTTTCGGTCCCGAACCTGGTTCCCATTGTACTCCATATTTTTAGCTTTTTGGCCGGTCGGAGATAAAAAAATCTGAACTGGGAATGAAACGTAACCGGGATCGGAATCACTCGATCCAGTCTCCAAAACTGGGAATCGGGAACGTGAACAACTCTAGGGAGGGCTGGTGGTCCGGTCCCAGGCCCGAAATCGCTCAAAACAAACATGGTCCAGGCCGAAACAGTGCCTGACCCGTTTCTGGACCTGATCCACCCTAGTACTTCGCCATGACTACTAGTTCAAACATAAATTTGATTTGAAATGTGCTAGTTTTGAGTTTGTTTTGATATTCTCATGCCCCCTTGAATCCATACTTGTTCTCAAGAGAGTTTGACAAAAAGGAAAAGTGTAGCAAAAATTAAAATACATCCCAAAAAAGAAAGCATAAAAACATTTCAATACAAATGGATAAAATAAAAAACTACTTGCTCTATCAACAGTTGGGGTAAGTAAAATTTACTAATGAAGCTTATATTACTATTTGTACCTAATCCACTATTCTATGAGTATACATACTTCAGAGATTAGAACCTAATCCACGAAGACATTTAAATCAGGAGAGTAACCCATCAGAAATCTACCAATATACTTCGTGATGCATTAGGCACGTTGCACTTGAGAGAATTGGCAGTGATTTTAATTTGATAAATTGATACGAAGTACTCGTATATATAAAGGCAACTTAAACTAGATTCTCCCAGAAAGAAAACAAACCTTAGATACATGAGTCAGAAGAACATAGAAATTACATTCGCTCAAGTCCAGGTCTTAAACCACCATCCAAAACAAATAACAAACAAAAAATACAAAAACAAAAGGGAAAATGATAAGTAATAGTGGCAAAGCATTCTTCATAATTATACTAAGCTGCTTCTGACCCTATTCATCAAACCCTCACCATGATCACTTGGCCATCATAACCTTGACAAACTCCTCGTAGTTAATCTGACCATCTCCGTCAACGTCTGCCTCCCGTATCATCTCGTCCACCTCTTCGTCCGTTAGCTTCTCCCCAAGATTGGTCATCACGTGACGAAGCTCGGCAGCAGAGATGAAACCATTCTGATCCTTATCAAACACTCTGAATGCCTCTTTCAACTCCTCCTCTGAGTCAGTGTCCTTCATCTTCCTAGCCATCAGATTTAGGAACTCAGGAAAGTCAATAGTTCCATTTCCGTCAGCATCAACTTCGTTTATCATATCCTGGAGCTCAGCTTCAGTGGGATTCTGCCCCAGTGATCTCATCACAGTCCCAAGCTCCTTTGTTGTGATGCAACCTGGAAATTAAGAAGAAAACAAAACTATGATAATTAGTTTAAGAAGCATTTGCCAATAGACTCACCTCTTGAAAATATTTAGGCATATCACAGCAACAAATCCGATGCATTTAGGTTTGTAATTTTCCTCCGAACAGGGTATGGAAGAGAAAAAAGAAGAGTGCTAGGGGATGTTATAATCTTAGAGTTGGACATTTCACATTTGGTTGTCACATGAAAAAAAACACTAGAAAATAAAATTTGCTAAAACAAATTGTAAGTTTTACATGTATTCAAACTCTACACGTTTATAAATAATAATTAAATAAATTTTTGAACCAATATCTAAAAAAAGATTATGCATCTTTTAGTTTTTCACCAAAACTTTCTTTCAGATCAGTTTTCTCTCTACTTCCCTTCTTGTTTTATTTCTCTAGGCTCTAGCATTTTCCTACCCCTGCATAATACAAATCCAAACTACCAGGGGTTGTTTTGGCTATCTAGGGATAGCTCCATTCAAATTAATTATTATAAACATAATAATATCTTCAATGGAAACTGTATCGCAACCTAGAAAAGCATCTATAAATGAACATTTGAGGAACAAACACCAAGTATGATTTTTTTTAATCAAGGAATCGAAACAAGTTGTACAAACTCATAGAGTACAATCCAAATCGACCATTGATAGCTAGTGAAACAACAAGGAATAAATGTTCAAAATATTCAAGATCCAGATATGTTTCCGGTCGCCATAGCCTATGAATCTAAAACAGCTCCTCTATCAAAACCTAATTATATTTCCACAAACCCAAAAGGTGGAGCATGGCATGGATAAACGTTACGGTTGTTCAAAAACATCAACCAGGCTACACCTTCCACTTGCTAGACAAAGAACATACGAAAATTAGCCAGATCTGAGCACACAAGACACAAACGAAGAGAAAAAACGGAAAACAGGAAAAAAAGTATAGGTAGCGAAAAAAGATGAGGGGGAGAAGCGTACCATCGCCGTCCTTGTCGAAGAGGCTAAAGGCTTCCTTGAACTCGGTGATCTGATCATCGGTCAGTTGATCCGCCATTTCTCCTTGCAGAAACTACGAATGAGGAGGCGAGCGGGAAAATGCGCGGCGGAACAGATAATTCTGTAAAGGATTTGGAGGAGCGGATGAACTGTGAGGTACCGGAGGTTCGTCTCCGTTTTATACAGAGTTTATGACAACGACAACGATTTGACAACGGTGGTGTAATTATCAACTTATTATTATTATAATTTTTAATTAAGAATTGATTAATACGGAGTATATTTAAATTCGGAGCGTTTATTTATTTATACACAAACCGATTAGACTTTTCAACGTCGAAATTTACATTCAAATTTTGTGCATTACATCCGGGCAGTCACCGGCTTCTGTATTGTTTGCTCCCGTTTTTTGCGCTTTACCCCTTTTACTTTTGTTATTATGATTACTTGCGCTATGGATTGGCCAGGAATTGTTTGGAATTTGTACAGCCAATTACTGGTGTAAATGTAATGGTATATATTTATGATAAGTCAAAATAAAGTTTCGTTTTCGTTGCTGTCTTTGAATAAAAGAAATAAGGGTATAATTTTATATATGTATATTGGCTATGATTGTAAATAATGAAATCTTTTATTCACCAAATAATTTAATTTGTATCATCAAATGATTCAAATCAATACATATGACTGAAACAATAAAAAATATACATTCGTCATCACATATTGACATGCGATTTTAGTAATTTCATTTACATTTGGATGTAAATAAACATGCTCAAGTCATCGAAAAGAAAATCATCTTCATTCAAAATTGTGAGTTGGTCGATATCCAAATAATCATTTTCCATGCTCTAAGATTCCTTCTTCATCTTCAAATTTCATTTTGACTTATTTTTTTTAACTTAATATAATCCCTCAAAAAAAAAATACGGTTTCATCTAAAACATGATAAATCAAATATTAACAAAATAATGTAAGAAATTAAGCTAAGGATGTGTAAAATTACTTCCATCCCATTAGCATTAATACAATTGTAAGTAATTGATTTTTTATTACACGTTTAGTATTCATGCTACCGGTATTTGAATGAATTTCATATTTCTTTTTTGATGAAAAATATGCACTGCAATTAATTTCACTTTATTTTTACTAATTTTTTAGTCACAGCTATTAATTTCGGACCACTTTATTAATATTTGCCAAACTAAAATAAAACATTTTTATTTCTTTAATCAAATTGCTTAAATTACTAAATTAGACAAGCGCTTTACGCGTTTGCCACGCGGGGTGGTGGCCTACATGGGCTATATTGACCAAAAACCTCTTGCTGCCATGTTGTACTGGGGCCCAGCTCTGTGATTAGCAAAAAATCTTACGGGACTACATGTTTGATAGGGCTCCACCAAGCACAAAATTAAGTCTCGTAATAATACTACACCGTAAGTCCGTATTATATGGACTTACCCAGTATTAATATGGAATATTAGTAATTTAAATAGACCCTTCGAGCCCGTTTGGTAGTATCAAAATCGGCTTATTTGGTTGATTCTGCTGAAATTTATGAAGTTCTGGTCGAAGTGGATGCATTGGCTGATTCTGCTGATTTAAGAAAAAATTATTTTTAAAATATATTTTATTAATAAAATAAATAAAAAATTATATGTAAAAATAGCTAATACATAATTCAGCTCGCGAAAACAAAAATTACGTGTTCGGTGAAAAAAATGGTTGATAAGCCTGATAAGCCGAAAATAGTGTTGTCAAACAGCCTCTTCAAATATTTCTAATTCATCGTGGAAATCCTTATACTAAAGAAAACATCATATAAATATGCTTACTTTTAAATATAATCAATCAAGTCACTTTTCGCATGCTATGGTTATTTAAAAAAATAATACTTCGTAATAAGGAATAGAAAAAATGACGTATATATTAATAATAGAGTTTTTTTGGATACCAATATGACTAGTTACGTTTTCGCCAAAAATATAACTAGTCACTATGTACGAGTCACGGTAAACTTGTCACTATAATGTATTTTAGAATGACAAGTCACTATGTATGACGAGTCATTGTGAACTAGTCATTAAATATGTTACTTTTTGGGAAAATTTTAGAATATATCATATTTTGTCTTTTGATTTAATTTAGTAATATTCATAGAAAAAGACCTAAGGAGTATTGATAAATCTTATAAAAATTAATATAAATTTGGAAAATAATGTAATAATAATATAAAATAGTTAAAAATGTAAAACTAGATAAATAATTTAAAAACATTAAAAAAACATATAAAATAAAAAAACTCATAAACTAAATTGAAAATGAAAAAATATAAAATATAAAACGTAAAAACCTTTAAAATAGATGTAGAATATACAAATAATTTCAAAATTTTAAAAATATGAGTTGGACCTTTTTATAATTTTCACGATTTTTCTCTATATTTCCTCAAATTCTAACATTGTTTAGAGTTCTTTTAACATAAAAAATCTGTTATTATAGGCCAAAAATTGAATAATGTCCTAGTTGATCAGTTTTGTAAAGTAAGTATATTTATATGATACATTTTTTAATATATATAAGGGCTTAAGTGAAGATTTGAAAATATTTGGAGAGCTTATTTGACCATTTTCATATTTAAATATTACCTTATAACTAGTCTATCAACCCGTGTGTTCTATCACGGTAACGAATAAATTAATCTTTTTCTGAAAATCTGTTTATTATAGGCCAAAAATTGAATAATGTCCTAGTTGATCAGTTTTTTAAAGTAAGTATATTTATATGATACATTTTTTAATATAAGGGCTTAAGTGAAGATTTGAAAATATTTGGAGAGCTTATTTGACCATTTTCATATTTAAATATTACCTTATAACTAGTCTATCAACCCGTGTGTTCCATCACGGTAACGAATAAATTAATCTTTTTCTAAAAATAATTTGTATTCAAATTATGTTATGTGAGTAATTGTTAGAGATACATTAACTAGTACTTCATATAATTTTATCAGATAACATTTTTCTATCCTTGAATTTTTCTAATGAGGATGATAACAATCAATATAATACATTATTTTGTGTTATATATTAAAGTACTTATATATTTAATTATTATAAAATTCATATAGCCATTTATGTGAAAAAACAACCTCTCGGTTTGCAGCTATCACTTTATTTGGATTATATAGTCTGTTTTTCGAATGAAAATTAGTTAGTCACTTAACGGGAGTTCTCCATCAAGTGGAGCCGCCGTGCGGCCGCGATCTTTCCACAGAACCGGTGTGGGACGGCTTAATATGGGGAGGCAAGATCAGTAAAAGGCTTTCTACAAGATGAAAATAGGGAATTTGAAATGGGGCTCATTTGAAGTGAAATTATGTGTTCATTCCGGTTCTTTGAAGTGGAATTCATAAGAGATGGACCATTGGACCTATTATGGGGTATTTTTGGTCCATAATTATTTCTCAATGGGCCATCATTTCACCAAAATAGCTGGAAATCAGTCCATTCCAAAGCCAAGTACCACAGAAACTCACTGACTCTTATTTCAAATATAACTATGTATTTTCATTTAAAAACTACTACTGTAGTGGTTATAACGGGAGTATGTATTAAGTAGTAGAAAATTGGCTACTACTCGTATTGTTTTTATTATCACCGTTATCTCTAGGGGGTTAAATAGTGTCGAGCCAAGCTCAAGTGACTTGTTCCACCGTAATTTTAATTTAATGTCTGATTTTGATAGGCCCCGTCAGCCTACCCTTGATCAGATTTAAGTAGTGATCGGAGTGTCTTTGATGGGCATTTCTCCAACAACGTGTTTAAATCTTGGAGTCACCCACGGTCTCGCACGCCATCAAATGCTTAGCAAATGACCATACCCTAGTGCTGTTTACGCCACCCTAGTGTTGTTTACGCCGCTAGACGTTATGTGCCTTTGCTAATGAGCCCCTAAAAGCTCCTCGCATACCAAGGAGGATTATACAGAAGTCTATTGTGATTTAAGTTGGAGTCCTTTTCCCTCGCCTGCCATAATCTAAAGGGAGAACGGTAAGGGGAGAACATCTCTCGCCCGATCCATTCGGGTGGGAGAGCGTCGTCTCACCGGCATATTGTATTCAGAAGGGAAAATTCCCCTTGACTGAACGAGACTACACATAGATACATATTTAAGAAAGATAGGGGAAGAACTTGAGCAAGAGTATATTTTTACGAGGAGATTCAATGCTCACTTCTCAAGAAACTGGGAGACTTGTGTTGAGATATATTATCCTAGTCTACTACTATTCAAGAGCCCAACACAATACCCTCATACAGAGCCCGGTCAATGTGGTCCATCTAGCCCCATCAGGCCCTTTCTGACCCATTCGGTCCATTTCAGCCATTTAGGTTTGGTTGCACCCCCTCCCCATTTTCCTTCTCCACTACACTCCCCCTTCTCTCTAGAAAAGCTCAAGAACTCCATTAATGGGAGCTTTGTACAATATAATAATGCGAGGAGAGATTAATGGAATGAGAGTGACTTGGAAATTAGTTGGAAAAGTCTTGTGACTTCTGATCTCCCTTTCAGATTTCCACATTAAAACAAAGTGTTTATACAATTTTTATACATTTATTTATTATTTCGTATTGGATTAGTTTCAACAATATATATTATTTACACAAACATACTATCGTATTACATAAATTTCACTATACCTATTTAAAGTAGTTTATATACCCAAATATTTCTACAAACTAGTCATAAACTAATTCAATACTGCCATTGTTGTTTACGCTAATTTTAGAATTGCATTTAGTACAATCATTTGTACACTTGTGTGGATATGCTTGTTAGGAGCTATGCATATGGAAGAGATAAGGTAGAGAAAAAAAGTCCATAGAAATCAATTAAGGATACAAGGCTGAGAGTGCAATACAAATAGGAAACAAGTACATATAAATATACAAAAATACTCTTGACTAAATAACTAAATTACATTTAACAATGCTAATTATTGTTAGTGCTTTTTTTAAAAGGAATTGTATAAATGTTTGTAGCTAGTTTCGTCACGCTCGAATATAATCTAGTAATTTGCATTTTTATATTTATAAATAATGTTGTCTTTTTTTAATTTTTTTTGCCATAGCTAGATTAATTATGTATTTGTATTGTATGTTTTATCATTATTGTTTTTATTCTATTTTTTATGTTTTATTTATAGTTCATAACTATTAATTAGACAAACATAATCTTTGATGGTCATTAAATACTTCATTAATTATAATTACAAATTTTCATTTCTTTTGACTCCAAATGAATTCCTACTCGATTCTCCAGCACACTCATTGCATATTTGTATCGAATCGGTAAATATTTTTCAAAATCAAATCGTAAATTGTAAGATTTTACAAAAACATATACCCG